ATTGTGCAAGTGACAATTCCTGTGTCAACTGTGCAGCGTGCAGCTCGCTTATAGACAGACGCGATGTGGTGATTTGAAGACATTTGCGTATTTTGAGAGAGCGCGTGCGGTGATTCACTCACGCTGTTTGTGAAATTATGTCTCACACAAGGTTTTCAAATTACTTTGTAAGTTATTTAATGAAGAAATAGCATTATAATTATTTCACCCGCGCCGGACAGAGGCTGAGACGGTGCCGCTGCATGTCGTGCCAAACCTCTCACGGCAGCGTCATCAGCTTGAGATCGTTTTTTTTGAGATCGGCCTTTTAGAGACCGCAGATTGATCATCCCAACGTGATTATCGGCCGATAATGATCGGTTCGATCAATCGGAGCAGCCCTACATAAAAGTAAAAAAAAAATTTAAAAATTTTTTAGATAAAAAATCTTATTAAAATGAATCAAATTGTAAATAATTGCATGAAAAACAAAAAACAATGGCAAAAAGGCAAGCGATAATGCGTCATCAGCTTGAGATCGTTTTTTTTGAGATCGGCCTTTTAGAGACCGCAGATTGATCATCCCAACGTGATTATCGGCCGATAATGATCGGTTCGATCAATCGGAGCAGCCCTACATAAAAGTAAAAAAAAAATTAAACATTTTTTACATAAAAAATCTTATTAAAATGAATCAAATTGTAAATAATTGCATGAAAAACAATGGCAAAAAAGCAAGCGATAATAAAATAAAAAATATATAAAAATAAATCTTCAAAATAACATTATTGTAAAAATAACAAAAATACATTAGCAATGCATTCAACTTCTGTTGGATAAAAGAACAAAACACACTAAAAAATTGTGCAGCCAAACTGAGATATTTTCAGGAAATGCGACAATGTGTGTGTATGTGCACGCATGGTCTTCCTCGGTCACATGACTCCAAGCCAATCAAGCCGGCCTCTCTCCGGATTAATCTGACATCTCCTGTTAAATGTCACCTGCAATTATAGCTTATGAAAAGAGGCAACAGCCTAATCAAGACTCCAGTGCACACACACCTCAGCCCAACTTCTGAAAAGTCACTGTGTGTGCGGCGTATTCAACAAATCACATCACACCATTAATCAAGCCATTTTACTAAATAACCACAATAACACTGAATCTAATTCAGAGACGTGATTGATGCCGTGCTTCCTACAGAAGGAACCCACCCGCTAATAATTGGCTCTAACTACATACTAAACAAAACAACATTAACTTTTTAATGTTGTAAGTTTTAATTAATTAAAATAACTTTTTTCAAAAACAGCAAATGTGTATCTTCAAAAGACGATGTAATATCTGCTAACACTCTCAAACTCTCTCAAAAAGCAACTCAAATTCGGGAGTCTTTTTGACTGATAGGGATAGTTCACCCAAAACTGAAAATTGTCATTTACCCTCAAACTGTTCTAAAAAGTATTTATCTCCTGTTGAACAGAATGTTGGTAACCAGACAGTTGCTGGTAGCCACTTATTTCTATCCACCTTATTTTTCAACGCGGAAGTAAGCCGTTTTCTGTGAATGCGCAAGACTTCCGGTGCATTAGCCGCTGTAGGGAAATAACGAGAATAATAACAACGTGCAGTAAACGCAAAAACTGTTTGCACTACAAACCAGTTTGTTAATAATTGAGATAATAGATTAAAATAATATGGCAAGACACACCAGTTTGCAATATCAAACCGCAAAATTAGCTGTATTGTACAGCTAAAAATAGCTGGAAGTGGGTGACACCGGAAGCCAGACACATGAAATTTACAAATGGCTGCGCCCGCTCTTATGGAAAAAATAAGGTGGATAGTATGGGGGAGGGGGGATACTATGGAAGTCAATGGCTACCAGCAACTGTTTGGTTACTAACATACTTCAAAATATCTTCTTCTGTGTTCAAAAGAACAAAGAAACTCGTACAGGTTTGGAAGCACATAAGGGTGAGTAAATTACAATTTTTATTTTTGAGTGAACTACTCCTTTAAAATAACTAACTTTATTTATTTGTATTATTTCATCAAAGTCTTTTCTCGTCTCATTCAGCATATGTTTGATAGGGCAAGCATCAATTTTATTGGTCATATTTGGTGTTAGGAACTTAAAACCCCAAATATTAAATGATTAATGTGTGTAGTCTCTGTGTATGAGATCAACATCTACAACGCCTCAGCAAGCAACAGGAACGTTGCATGTTTTAAAAAGTAGCTGCTGTTCAAGGTCTGATATTACTGCACTTACCTTGAACATAAAATTAAAGCAACGATGAAATGGTGAAGGCTTTCTTTAGCAATAATGAGAGCATTCTGTGGGAATCACAGGGGACGGCGCATCCAAACACAACAGATGATCTCACTCATTCCCTGCCCGCACCAGCTCCCAAAAGATAATGCATGCTTGAAAATGAGAAGACCGACGTGCTAACAGGTGTTAAAATGGAAGATGCCAGATGGAAGTTCGGATATGGGATGAAAAATGAAACGCCACTGCTGCCCTTCACACTCCAGCCCCTCTGAACCGCGGCGCCCTCTATCTACACACAGAGAAATACAGTACAGATTTTGCTCTAACTTTCATACCAGACATTTTTGTTACGTATCATTTGATCATCTGGTTTGCATCCATATAGTTCTAAACAAAAACTTAAATATGATCAAGTGAAATTACATTTAATTCACTAGATCATCCATAAATAAACATTATTTTATTTCAACAATTTTCCAGCAAAATAGCTATAATTTGACATATAATGTTACCATGACATTAAATTACCTTAAAGGGATATAGTTAATGAAAATTCTGTCATCACTAGGGTTGGGTACCGTTCACATTTTAACCGG